ATTATTATTATTATTATTATTATTATTATTATTATTATTATTATTATGATGATGAACTAAATAATAACTAAGCCATATTTGTACCACTAGTTCATTTGCTTTAATTTTTCTGCTCTCACTGAGAGAAAAAGTAAATTGATGAGAGACTTGCCATCCAGATATTTTGCTTTCCACACGTTGCCAGTTTACCAGAATACAAGTGTGCCTCTCCGTCCCTGATTGACAGGATAACTTTAGGTCTTGGAGAGGAATTGTAAAACTTTGTGCAGGAATTTGGCAAACACAAAACCTCCCTTGCATCATTGAGTGTTTGTCAGCCTATCAAGAATAGGTGAGATCAGGGTGTGAATTAAACATTCGAAAAGAGCTTAGATTGGGAGGAGCCTCTGTGGCACAATGGTTAGAGTGCAGTACTGCAAGCTACTGCTGCAGCCAGCTGCCACAATTTGGCAGTTCAAATCCCATCAGGCTCAAGGCTGACTCAGCCTTTCATCCTTCTGAGGTGGGTAAAATGAGGACCCAAATTGTTGGGGGCAAGAGGTTGACTCTGTAAACTGCTCAGAGAGGGATGTAAAGCGCTATAAAGCGGTATATAAGTCCAAGGGCTATTGCTATTTTCCATTGCTTAAGGTACCTGTTCCACTTCCAGTATTCTATAGGCCCATGATGGTGAACCTATGGCACGCATGCCATAGGTGGCACGCAGAGCCATTTGTGCTGGCACATCTTTTTCAACCTCCCAGAGGCTTGGGGAAGGCTTCTGCAGACTTTGCAGGCCAAAAACTAGGCCCATTTCGTCACTTCCAGTTTTTCCGGAAATACCAGAAGTGATGAAACAGGCCTAGTTTTTGGCCTGCCAAAGCCTGCAGAAGCCTTCCTCAAGCCTCTGGGAGGCCAAAAAAGGACTCAAACCGGCAAAAAATCAGCTGTGGGCGCAGTGCAGGTAAGGGGGCGACGGGGTGGGTGAGTAGGGTTTGCACGCGTATGCATAGGGGGCGTGGAGGGGCGCGCATTGCCTTCTGGGTACTGGCACACAAACACGAGCATGCAAGCACGCGCACAATTTTTGGCACAGGAGCCCCAAAAGGTTAGCCACCACTGCTCTAGGCCATACCAGCATGCTTAGTTCTCGATTTACAATAGAATAGAATAGAATTCTTTATTGGCCAAGTGTGGTTGGACACACAAGGAACTTGTCTTGGTGCAAATGCTCTCAGTGCACATAAAAATAAAAGTTTATGCACAATTATTACAATTATGTAAAGTTTATAGTTCATTTAGTGACCATTTGAAGTTATTAAAGCACTGAAAAAAGTAACTTACGACTGTTTTTCACTCTTATGACCATTGCAGCATCTCCATAGTCACAGGAACAAAATCTGGATGCTTGGCAACTGATTCGTACTTATGACGGTTGCAATGTCCCAGGGGTCACATGATCCCCTTTTGTGACCTTCTGACAAGCAAAGTCAATGGGGAAGCCAGATTCACTTAACGATGGCTTATTACTAACTGGCAGTGATTCACTTAACAACTGTGGCAAGAAAGGTCGTAAAATGAGGCAAACTCACTTCACAACTGTTTCGCTTAGCGACAGAAATGGTTGTGGTTACCCATGGAGGACTACCTGTAGTTGTGTTCTTGAGTGTTTTTTTTTTTAATGTTTTACTATACTGGCGAAGTGCCCGGTTTCTCTTTATAACTGAGTGCCCTTTAATTGGGTTTCAGACTCTGCTTTTAACTTATTTCTCTTCCTCCTGACAGATGAAAGCTGCTCGCCTCAAATTTGATTTCCAAGCGGAGTCGCCAAAGTAAGTAGCGAGATCTGGCAGCCTTTAGCAGTCGTATCATATTTTAGCGCCTTGGCGCCGTTGCTACGCTGGTGAATTGTGATTGTTGTAGCACAGAATTGAGGCCCAAGGTCGCTCTTGAAAGCCTTCGGCATGGCCACAAGAGGTTTCTAAAGGTGATTACTAAATTATAGCATTTGATATAATTGGATATAGCTTTCAAATATAGGCCCGAACACAATGAATTGTATTGAAATTTTAAAACTGTAAATGAAGTCAATCTCTCAGGGGCTGCTCCAAAGAAGAGGGAGTCAAGCCATTCCCCAAAGCACCTGAGGGCAGGACAAGAAACAATGGATGGAAACTAACCAAGGAGAGAAGCAACTTAGAACTAAGGAGGAATTTCCTGACAGTCAGAACAATTAATCAGTGGAACAACTTTCCTCCAGAAGTTGCAAATGCTCCAACACTGGAAGTTTTAAAAAAGATGTTGGATAACTATTTGTCTGAAGTGGTGTAGGGTTTCCTGCCTATTCAGGGGGGTTGGACTAGAAGACCTCCAAGGTCCCTTCCAACTCTGTTATTCTATTCTTTTGTTCTGCTTCAGCTATCACTTCTTGGAGTGTGGCCCCTGGCAATGTCTATTATGGTCAATTGTGGCCCTTTGTCAGGAAATGTATTGTATTGTATCACAGTGAACGAACTCCTTGGTGCATTGCAGATGCAATTTTTTTTATTGTTGGAAGCTACCCAGAGTCACTGAGAGTGAGTAGGGAGCCATATAAATGTTCTTAAATCAATAAATATTCAGAGGCGAAAGGTGGGGTTGGAATCGAATAAACCAAACAGAGAAAAGACCGTGTGTTTTCCAAGTGCAACATGATTCCTCACCCCATTCTAGGTCACATGATCTTCTTATGTGAAGTTTTGGCCAAATCCTTCAACTCTCACTGTTTTTCTGCTTGAGTGGAGAATGTGTTCTCGAACACACCCTCCTCTCCTCCGCAGAATATTTCCTAGCTTGGAAAAAAAAAAAAGCCACAGCTACATTCTTTGGACCCAACGAAAGGATCGACGCAAAAGGCTCGATTTGTCTCAATCATCATGGCATTAAGCCATTCACCTGAGCAGGGGGTGGCTGGTACAAACCCAGGGAGTGGCTTGAAGAGACCCAGGATGGAGGTTTTGCTCTGAAATAATTTTGAACAGGGGTCCTTATGTGTTGTTACCTGTTTGTCTTTCAGAGAACTGACCCTGCAGAAGGGGGACATTGTCTACATCCACAAAGAAGTAGATAAAAACTGGCTTGAAGGAGAACACCACGGCAGGGTGGGCATTTTCCCTGCTAATTACGTGGAGGTAAGCTTCTGGGGGTCATCAGGACTTTTTGGCTGCCCCAGTAAAATTGAAATAGGTTTTTGTATACCTATACAGAAGAGAGAGGAGAAATGGAGGGAAGGGAATTCAGGATTCCCACTTGCTAAAGGGCAAAATTAGTAGTGAAAATCTTGTTTTGTTTTGCCATCCTGGATGTTGACAAACATACTTCCTATATTTATGTTTCTATTATCATATTATTAAATTATGGTTCTATTATTCACCTAGACCAAGGGTCTTCAAACTTGGCAAGTTTAAGATTTGTGGACTTCAACTCCCAGAATTCCTAAGCTAACATGACTGGAGAAGGAATTCTGGGAGTTGAAGTCCACAAGTCTTAAAGCTGTCAAGTTTGAAGAGCCCTGGTCTAGATCTTTTGAGGCATTATGAATACTGCAATTATTTTGGAATAGAAGAGTTGCTGGCAGCTTTGGAGCTGTTAATTTGCATTGTTGTGGTCTCTTAATGAGTACCAGTGTTGTGTCATGCATTGTAGAGCCAAGGGCCACAGTTAGTCTCTGAATAAGCTGGGCCTGGACAAATGATAAGTGTGATTGAATTTAGATGTGATAAAATTAGTCAATGGCACGAAATAATTGTTCTGATTAGCCTGTGTTTTAAAAACCATTTTCTCTTTCTGAAATATAATTCAGTGAAAATTTTGGATGACCTCAAGTGGTACCCAAAATCCCTTTAGGGAGATTTCATTCATTTTGCATCACTGGCCTATATATGAGTAGCAAATGAAAGATCCTTTCATTAAGGCTATTTGAATGTAGGCCTTGACCCACGGCTCAATTATTCCTCTGTCTTCCATTGGCATGGAGACAAAGTCAGAGCCCCAGTAGTAGATGTGGGGAATATTGTGACTCCAAGATGGCATCAGAAAACATCTTTAGTACAGATTTTCTTTTGTTGGCAACAGATAAAATTGAGGTATGTTAATCCACATAATGCTTACTTATTACTGGTGTTTTTTGGAGGGGGTGGGAATAATGGAACATACGTTTGTTATAAATGTGTAAGTTTGCATAAGATTTATAGGTTTTATATAGGGTTATAGTAAAGGTTTTCATATTTAAAATGTTATTGTTATTTTGAATTATATTCCAAAATTCTGGAATCTGACCATTTTTAGTTTTTGAAGCCATTTTTCCCAACTATTGAAAAATTATATGATATGTTTCCCTTTGGAATAGATTTCATAATGTTATGACAATAGATAAACCTTTATGTGTGGTTCCCTCAGGTGTTCCTAAGCCTCAGTCCTCTCCCTTAGCATTTTATTTACTCTCTGGCTTCTTTCTGGATCTGTTTCAGGCCTGGCACCTTTGCCTGTGTTGCTTTCTTGCACATTATTTTGTCTTGGGAGCTGCTCAAATGGGGGTAAAGGGAGAAAAGGCAGAGACATACCAGCCAACACAAAGTCCCAAACTCCTCTCTCTGCCTTCCTGCTTCAGTGACCTGATTGGTGACTGATTTCCCCACCGCTGGCTAGAGAGAATGGAAGAAAAATGAATCTTACCTATCATGAGATAAGGCAAATCGGGTCGGCAGAATCCAACAGTGACTCAGAATAGATGCCGTAGTGTAGAGATATGTTAAAGATTGTCAATGAGGGCAGCAAACATGCATTGTCAGACCCAAGAAACCAGAGCTACTCGGGAATAGCTTAAGGTAGCAATTTTATCGACTTCTACCTATATTACAGGGATTTCAGTGGCTAAGACGCTGAGCTTGTCGATCAGAAAGGTCGGCGGTTCGGTGGTTCGAATCCCTAGCGCCGCATAATGGAATGAGCTCCCGTTACTTGCCCCAGCTTCTGCCAACCTAGCAGTTCGAAAGCATGTAAAAAAATGCAAGTAGAAAAATAGGGATCACTTTGGTGGGAAGGTAACAGCGTTCCGTGCTCCTCTGGCGTTTAGTCATGCCAGCCACATGACCACGGAGACGTCTTCGGACAGCGCTGGCTCTTTGGCTTTGTAATGGAGATGAGCACCGCCCCCTAGAGCCGGAAACGAGTAGCACGTATGCGCGAGGGGAACCTTTACCTTTTAACTAAGAAAACAGCTGTTGTTCTGAAGTTCAGGAACAAAATCGGAGCAGGCCCATGTCCTGCACAGATGACAAAAGTGTCGCACACGCAGACATTTTCATACTTTCACTGCCAATGATGTGTTCCAGTAAAGGGGCTTGATGCTCAGGTGAGCTCTTTCTCTAAGGAACCTGTATCCCAGATTAAAGCCATAACCCTGTTGTGCTGCTGCTTCCTTTTTCAACACAGGTCCTGCCTCCAACCGAAATTCCCAAGCCCATCAAAGTGCCCTCCCTCCAAGTCTTGGAGTACGGGGAAGCAGTGGCCCAGTACAACTTCAAAGGAGACTTGGCGGTAGAGTTGTCCTTTCGAAAGGTATCGAAGTCCACATATTAGCAGAAACATACATTCTTGCTCAGAGTGGAGCCAGCCACCAAAAGGCTTCGGAGCCTCCTCCCGTGGCTTGTCTGGGCTGCAAGCCAGTTCATTCCTCTCCCACAGATGTGGGGCTGGTTGGCTGTCTCTGCTTCTCGTAAATGGCGCTCTGAGGCAGCCAGTCATATTTTAGGGCCTCTAGAAAAAAGGCAAGGGGCACCTCCTGTGGCGATGGAACGGTGTCATAAATCATGTACTGCCACTTTTGAACATCAATGCTGAAAACTGCTTTTGTGGCCCGCCAGTGGAGTTGGTGGTAGACTTGGACAGTGAGAAGGTTGGGGAGGAACAAGGGCCAGTCCTGGATATTAGACAAGGTAGCTCCAATTATCTGGAGATTACAATTCCTTTTTGTTGCTTTGTTTGACTGAGATCAATTGGGCACTGCCTTTGTTGAATTTAAATGCTTTGTTCTGAATTCATGTTTAATTCAAAGAGACCTAGCCATTAGCAGCTTCTGGAGAAAGGACAGAGGATGTCTATTTGCAAGATCAAGTTGGTGGTTTAGTTGTTGAACAAATGATTTGCCCCACAGAACTTAGGATTTTATAAACCTTAAGAATATTTATAACAATCATATTTGAGAGGAGCATTCTCCTCCCCACAGCTGGAGGGAGGTCTGGGACATTGTTGACCTTTTGGACAAAAGAAAATGTGGTGAAGAAGTAAATAAATAAACTGAGTAAATACCAATAGCATTTAGACTTATATGCTTATATGCTTCACAGTGCTTTACAGCCATCTGTAAAGCAGTTTACAGAGTCAGCCTATTGCCCCCAACAATCTGGGTCCTCATTTTACTGGACCTTGGAAGGATGGAAGGCTGAGCCAACCTTGAGCCTGGTGAGATTCGGACTGCCAAATTGCAGCCAGCCGGCAATCGGCAGAAAAAGCCTGCAGTACTGCATTCTCACCACTGCGCCACCATGGCGAAAGAAAATGTGAAAAAGTAAATAAATAAATGGAGTAAATAAATAAACTGGTTGCTGTTACTCAACCGGTCAAAGGGCCACAGGGACAAGTATTGTAGGGTAACAGGTGGCCTGGTTGAGAGATCTTTCAGATATATTCAAGATGTTGTGCTGTGAATTAAGGAGTCATTGTTGCTTTAATGTTGTACACCACCCAGAATTACTGCTGTAAGATGCTGTTCCCATCCTACACCCCATATCCCACTGCTGATAGGAGAGGCCGTAGAAATGCACATACGCACACACATCACACAAACAAATGAATATCATACTTATTGTGCCCGGAACAAGCTGGGTGGCCTTTAACTTCAAAGTGGTTGTTGAGAAGGACAGACAATCTCTTCTTGGGTGTGTCTTTCAGCCTCGGGACTCTACACACTCCCACGGTATGCTAACTTTTTCTTTTCTCTGTTGCCAGGGTGAACATATCTGCCTTGTCCGTAGGGTAGACGAGAACTGGTATGAAGGTCGCATCTCTGGCACAAACCGCCAGGGTATTTTTCCAGCCAACTACGTCCAGGTGGTGAAAGAGCCAAGGGTGAAGAATTCGGAGGAATATCCTTCCTCCCCGGGCCTCCCAGCCCATGCCAGCTCGTCCCCCCAGGCACAGGCGCCCAGTCTGGGCAGTAGGTGGCAGTCTGAAACTTCCCCTTCAATCCTGCCAAACACTCTGGCACCAGACCTGCTCGCCTCCTCTTCCTCCTCTGCCTCTTCTGGATTCACGTTTCCCATCTCTCCAAAGTTTGAAAACCCCGAGACCACGACTCACAGAATCCAGGGTGCACTCAGAGCTGGCTCTTTCAGTCCCCAGAGTCGAAGCCCAGGGAAAATGTCCAGTGGTAGCCCCCAGCCTCTCACATCTGTCCAGATGAAGGACCCACCACGACCTGTTCCTCCTCTATTGACTTCCCAAGCACGGACTTCCATTCCGCCACAGGTGAGATGCAGTGGTGGGATTCAATTTTTTTTTTTACTACCGTTTCTGTGGATGTGGCTTGGTGGGCGTGGTGTGGCTTGGTGGGCATGGCAGGAGAAGGTTACTGTAAAATCCCCATTCCCTCCCCACCCACTAACCTGCTTTCCAGCTCCGTTCTCCTGTGCGGGGCAACCAACGAAGACCCAGCCAATCAGCTGGGACTCAGAGGGCGGAGAATAGATGGGGGCGGGGCCAGTCAGAGGTGGGATTTGCCGGTTCTCTGAACTACTCAAAATTTCCGCTACTGATTCTCCAGAACTGGTCAGAACCTGCTGAATACCCCCTCAGATGAGATGCTGTTCCCCCGCCTCCATTTCTCATGTATGGTGTAAGAGACCAAGCATAATTTGTATATCCCAGGGCTTAAATATAATAAGTGGCTGTTTGCTGGCCTGTGTCCTTCCTTTCATCCCAGGCAGTCACTTAGCATTCTCCTCTGAATTACAAAAGCAGATTTGCCACTTTCATAATGTGGGGCATGAATGCAAAATAACAATGCGGAAAAAAAAATTTTTTTTTAAAGGGATGGAGCTGGCATGGTGCCACTGTGGCCAATGCTGGCATCGCTCTTGAGTTTTCTTGATCCCTTCTCCTTGGATCTCACGGTCACAGGCTTAATTCATTGCAATGGTGGAAATATCCTTTATACAGCATCACTTTAGGCCAGGGCCTTCCAAACTTGGCCACTTTAAGACTGGTGGACTTCAAGTCCCAGAATTCTCCAGCCAGCTGGAGAATTCTGGGAGCTGAAGTCCACAAATCTTAAAGTGGCCAAGTTTGGAGACCTTTGCTTTAAACCATGTGGGACATTAATATCCTGTTGTAGGGCTTGGCAGCAACCCCAAAGCAACGGGAAGAGTGGACAAAACAAAACAAAAAAACCAACAACAACAACTCTTAGCAGGAGACAAAGTTTGCATTCCTTTTTGGTGGACGTGGGTGTGAGTTTCTGCCCTAGGAAAGCCAAGCCAATCCAGAAAAGATTCTAGTGTCTTTAAATGACTCATGGAAACTGGAAGGACAATCATGCTTAATATAGTCCTCAACTTATGACAATTGACCCCCCCCCCAAAAAAAAATTCTCTCGCTAAGCGAGACACGTGTTCAGTGAGTTTTGCCCTGTTTGGCTACTTTTCTTGCCGCAATTGTTCAGCGAATCCCTGTGCTTGTTAGTTTTAGTAACACGGACGTTAAGTGAATCTGGCTTCCTGATTGACTTTGCTTGTCAAAAGGTCACAAAAGTGAACCCAGGACACTGCAATACTGTCATAAATAAGAGACAAGCGACAGAATTTTGATCCCGTGAACTCAGTTCCGAAGAAGAAGTGCCCTTTGAAGAGCTGAAAAGGCTTCTTGGGCGAGAAGCGAAACATCTTCAAGGAAAAGCAAAGTCCAGCTGACTTTTGAAGAAGTACTTTTGGGAGCTTCTGACTTTAGTGGTGTCTTACAGTAGCTATGATGACCCGGACTGTAATGCAAACGTAACAAAATCCAAAACGTAAATAAGTGTCTTTTAATGCCTCCAACTTGGCCCCACTGTTCAATAATTCTCAGTTGGAGATAAAACTGATTCAAAAATAGTCTTCAAAAGAAAACAATGCAGTCCGAACTTAATGAGCAGATAGAGGTGAAATAAAAAACCAAAACAAACTACACTGATGAAGTTTCCACAACGGACCTGGGATAAGTAATTATCAAATTCAAGCAGATAACAAGGCACAATCTGTTGGAAGGACACCAACCAAGATAACTTCAGCCCAAAATAAAACACGCTTTACTTCTGGCAACTCTATGTTTTAACCATCTCTCTTATATACTATTCTCCCCAGCTGCAACCAATGAGAGGGATCAGGGCCGCTTCCTCTCTCGTAAGCCAAGTTGTTGCCTTCTCCATTCCTCGCTGCATGTCCTAGGATGAAGAGGGGATGGGCCTGGTTCTTCCTTTGACTGCCCAGCCGGCCTCTGCCCTTCCCCACCCTCCTCCACAACCTCCGGAGCCACACCTCCCCTCCCTCCCTTCCAATACTGTCTCCCGCCCAAGCCAGGGGTTGGACTAGAAGACTTCCAAGATCCTTTCCAACTCTGTTATTCTGTACAGGTAGTCAGTCCTCAACTTACAACTATTTATTCAGTAACCCAAGTTACAACGGCACTGAAAACTGTGGCTTACGGCCATTTTTAGCACTTACAAGCATTGTAGCATCCCCGTGGTCCCATCATCAAAATTCGGATGATTGGCAGCTGACCCTTTTGCGGCCTTCTGACAAGCCAAGTCAAGGACGAAGCCCAGTTTCCTTGACAATCGTGCGAGTAACTTAATATCTGCGGTGATTCACTTAACCAAAAAAGGTCACACCAGGCGGCAAAATTCACTCAACAATTGCCTTCTCCTTAGCAACAGGGAAGCTTTGGCTCGATTGTGGTCGTCAGTCCAGAACTACCTGCATTCTGCGTTGAATTTTCCTGGGCTCTTCCGCCAGGATTGCCTGGAATTGGTATAGGTCAGTGATGGCGAACCTTCTTGGCATAGTGTACCAAAAGCGTGTGTGCCGGCACCCACAATGCAATGTGCTCTCCCCACCCCCCCCGTGTATGTGCGCGCAACACCCCTGAAATACCGGAAGTGACAAAACAGGCCCATTGTTTTGTCACTTCCAAAGGCTGCAGAGCTTCCCTCGAGCCCAAGGAGGGTGAATATGGCCTCTCCAGAGACCCCCCTGGAGGCTGAAAACAGGCACTTCCGGTATTTCCAGAAGGCCCGTTTTTCTGCCTCCCGAGGCTGCAGCGGCTTCCCTCAAACCTCAAGGCCTCAAACGGGCCGAAAATCAGCTGCGAGGTGCGCGCATGCGCAGTACAGGCAAGTACAGGCAAGTTTGGCTGGAGCTCACGTGCCTGCACAAATGGCTGCCATAGGTTCGCCATTACGGGTATAGGATCTCCTGCTTCAGCAGGGGGTTGGACTAGATGTCCTCCAAGGTCTCTTTCCAGCTCTATTCCGATTCTGATTTAGGTCAACCTTCCTTCCCTCCCACCTGTGTTTTATTCCTTTCTGCTGCGCCGTGTTCTCATCGCGCTTCCTTTTTTTATTTTTTTGGCAGAATTCCGCCCTCGAAGCGGCGTTTTCCCCAACTTCAAAGCCGCGGAGCGCCCCCCACACCTCCAGAGACCAGTCCCCCTCCGGCATCCAGTGGACTCCGTAAGTCAGGCCGATTCGCAGGGTCGGGGAAGGGAGAGCTGGGCTCCTGCTGGCAGCTGGCCAGCCCCACCTTCCCTGGGAAGTGACCCATAGGGAGGGGAGGACGGAGTGGGGGAGGGCTGTAGACAACTCCCCCCCCCCCCCCCCCCCCCCCCCCGAGTGCCAGGCTTGGACAGTGTCTGGATTGTTCAAAACAAGGGGCCTTTTTCAGAGGAGCTTGCTCAGCGCCTCGGGGAATAGAAGCCGGCTGGCTGCTTCACCGGTGCCAAGCATTGCCAACGCCTGCTTGAAAGGCTGAGGAAAAGCTCAAGGTTTCCGAGCGGCAGGGTCTATGTCTCTCTACCTCTTTCCCCTCCCCCCACCCTGAATATTTGGGGAGCGGGGAGGGCAGGGAGACGGCGCGCCTCTGCCCATTTCTTTTCCACGCACGAAACACAGCGTGGCGTCCCTCATCTGCCCTGCCGGCAGAAGCGACTCAAAGTTTATTTCCCTTAGGAAAAGTTTGTAGAGATTCTCAAGTCATTCCAGGTCCTGGTTGTCCCAAAGGGGCTTTTTTCAGGGGGCAACTGGACTTCCTTGGTTTTTTTCTTTTCTTTTGAAGACGTTTCGCTTCTCTTCCAAGAAGCTTCTTCAGCTCTGACTGGATGGTGGGGGGAAAGGGAAGGATTTATACCCCTTGCAGACCGCTGGTCATTTGCATCCTTTTAGAGGGTCGTTGAGGCCACTTGGAGGTTTTATCTGTGTCCTCGGGGTCACCTGAGTAGTGCAAATGGTTCCTGTAGTCTGCAATTTTTTTCTTCCTCTGGAAATCCATTCCTCCTCCCACACCATTCCAAGGGTGTCCATCCCAAATTGCATAGCTAAAAGTCTGTAGAGATTCTCAGACCTCCAGGTCATGGTTGACCCAAAGGTGCTTTTTTCAGGAGGCAACTGGACTTCCTTGATTTTTGTTCTTCTTTTGAAGACGTTTCGCTTCTCATCCAAGAAGCTTCTTCAGCTCTGACAGGACAGTGGGGAATGGAAGGATTTATATTGCAAAATGCAAATGACCAGCTGTCTGCAAGGGGTATAAATCCTTCCCTTCTCCATCATCCAGCCAGAGCTGAAGAAGCTTCTTGGGTGAGAAGCAAAACGTCTTCAAAGAAAAACCAGAAAGTCCAGTTGCCTCTTTTAAAAAAAGCACCTTTGGCATTCCTTTAGGGGAGAAAAAAAAAATCTGTTTTAATTGGGGTATAGGGAAAAACTAATACGTACGTACACAGGTCGTCCTCGACTTATGAGCATATCGTCAGCCATGATGGTCATAGAACAAGTCATCGTGTGATTGACCCCCATTTTACGATCTTTTCTTTTCTTGTGGTGATCATTAAAGCCAATGCTGCAGTTGTTAATCACCCAAAGGCAGCGCATGTGGACATAGGAGTGGAGGGATGGCCATCAGAACATCGGAACTGGGTTGTAAGTACAGGGGTACCTTGGTACTCATTGTTAATTTGGAAGGCATGATGAGTACCAGAAGTGAAGACTACCAAACAAATATTTCCCCTAAGGAATAATGCAGTGGCTCACAAGGCAGTCAATGCCAACAAGTTCTAGCCTTGTGTGTCAAGTACTAAACAAACGAGTACCGGGGTTAAATTTTCACATCAAATGCACCGTATCAAATTCCGTGAGTTTCGAAGCATTGAGTGCCGAGGTACCCCTGTACTTTGGGAGAAGGGAGTTTCTGTTGCAGATTCGAATGGTCACTGAGCAAACTTGTCATAAGTTAAGGACGACTTGTATGCTGTTAAATAGAAGAGAAGGAGACGTCCTCACCCATGGCTTGTGTGCTGCAGGTACCAAGCTCTCTACCATTACCGACCTCAAAATGAAGATGAATTGGAACTCCAGGAAGGTGATCGCGTAGATGTGATGCAACAGTGCGATGATGGCTGGTTTGTGGGTAGGTCTAGATCTGTGGAGATGGGCGCTTCAAAGCAAGGCGGTGGCAGGTTTTAGTAGCTTGCAATTTCTTCCATACCTTTGGAGTCAGACGCTGCCCTCCCGTGCCAAAACTGGCATAAAATCTACATTTGATTTACGTTTCCAGTTGGATTAAGCTTAGACATAATGCATGGGGTTATCCTCCAGCGATGTGATTTTTTCCCCCCCCTAGTAAGACTTTAGTAGCATCTGAGGATTTCTAGGACTGTAGCAGAGGTGGTCTTCAGCAGGTTCTGACCGGTTTTGGAGAATCAGTAGTGGAAATTTTGAGTAGTTCGGAGAACCGGCCAATCCCACCTCTGACTGGCCCCGCCCCCATCTCTTCTCTGCCTCCCATTGAGTCCCAGCTGATCGGCTGGATCTCCTTGGGTTGCCCTGCACAGGAGAACGGAGCTGGAAGGCAGGTTAGCGGGGTGGGGAGGGAATGGGGATTTTTCAGTATCCTTCCCCCAAGATTGGAGTGAGAATAGAGATTTTGCAATATCCTTCCCCTGCCACGCCCACCAAGCCACACCCAGCACACCATGCCCACTAAGCCACGTCCACAGAACCGGTAGTAAAAAATGTTTGAATCCCACCACTGGGCTGTATCCAAGGCTTTTGAGGTCTACACATATCCTGTAGCTTCAGATGAGGCGCCTCTGCCTTATTGAACAGAATAACAAAGTTAGATCTTGGAGTTCTAATCCAACCCCCTGCTTAGGGGAGGATGCTCTATACCAGGGGTCTCCAACCTTGGCCACTTGAAGCCTGGAGGACTTCAACTCCCATCCTCAAGTGGCCAAGGTTGGAGACCCCTGCCCTATACCATGAGTGTCAAATCCGCCATGTCATTTTGCTGCCACGTGACGTTTTGAGATGTTTTTTCCCATTCGTGGAGCTGGGGTGGGCGTTGGCTGCGCATGACACATCCAGCCCACGGGCTGCCATCTTGACACCCCTGTCCTCCACCATTCCAGACAAATGGTTGACCAATCTCTTCTTAAAAACCTCCAGGGTTGGAAGTGGAGAAGATTTAGGGTAGGCCTCCAAAGGCTTGCCTCTAGCCAACTTTGCATTTAGTTTTAATTGAAGGCACCTGAAGAATAGGATTAAAAGATAGGTGTGGCCAGTCGTATTATGTGACAGACTCCAAAAGAGATAGTTGTAAACACATTGGTGCTCCTCATTACTAGGCTGCCATTCCTGATCCAGGACCTGAATGAATGGAGAAGATCTCCTGCCATCTCAACCATGTCCTGAGTAGCAATACTACCACACGAAAAACCACTCAAACAGGTTTTATTGCTGATTTAATTTAGCATATTGCATCTACAGAGGTCATGCCATCTCTGATATGCAAACCCTAACAAAACTCATTGTACATAGAAAATATAATTTAAATATAAATTTAAATAAAACATCATACTGCATCCAGTTTTGGACACCACACTATAAAAAAAGAGAAGAGAAGAGCAACCAGGATGATTAAGGGACTGGAAGCTAAAACACACAATGAATGGTTGCAGGAACTGGGCCTGGCTAATCTAGGGAAGAGAAGGACCAGGGGAGACAGGATAGCAGTCTTCCAATATTTGAAGGGCTGCCCCAGAGTGGAAGGGGTCAAGCTATTTTCCAAAGCACCTGAAGGCCAGACAAGGAATAATGGATGGAAACTGATCAAGGGAGAGATTCAACCTAGAAATAAGGAGAAATTTTCTGAGAACAATCAACCCGTGGAACAGAAGTTGCCTTCAAAAGTTGTGGGAGCTTCATCGCTGGAAGCTTTCAAGAAGAGACTGGACTGCCATCTGTCAGAAATGGTGTAGGGTCTTCTGATTGGGTGGGGGTGGGGGTTGAACTAGATGACCTACAAGGTCCCTTCCAACTCTGTTAATCTGTTATCAGATCAATCTTTATTACAGTCACAGAGCAGCAAAGCAAATATACTGTATATATAAAATATGCAGGATGAGAAAGGAATATTGTCTAAAACTTTGAAGCTGGGGCACAAGAGGTAGCAGAGTAAGATATTGTCTTCTTTAGATATCTTTTTTTTTTTTTTTAATTTCAAGAGGCTGGTCCAGAATCTTCCAAGGGGAAAAAAAAAAACCCCTCTGAATCTTGAACCTCTATTCTTTCTTCATGGATCTCTTCTGCGTTTTTTTTCTTTTCTTTTCCTGCACTAGGGGTCTCTAGAAGGACGCAGAAATTTGGCACTTTCCCTGGGAATTACGTTACTCCCGTGTGACCAGCAGCTCTCTCTCCATGCAATTGAATCAGAATCTTCTGCTCCTAGGATCTTGCCCTTCTTGGAGAAGCACCCACGATCAACGGACACGAAAGAAAAGAGTAAAAGACATGGTCTGAAAGCTAATATGCCCCCACCCCACCCCCAAGATATGTCTTGTTTGCCAGCCGGAGTCTGTACTGCTTGACTTGGTATCTTCTGCACCTTGGCTTCCTCGGGGGAAGACGATTACAACCCACTTTCTATTCCCAGTATTTATGAAGCATCGCTAATTCCAGCATTCCCATGACGGATGTGGGTTGAACAGAACGTACTGGCCTCTTGTTTCTCTTAAACCTGGGATTCCGTGTTTTGGCCAGTTCTTACAACCGCCTTGGAAAGTGGAGATTGAGCGTTCTCTACTGTTGAGCCTATGCTAATTCTTCCCTCCAGAAAAATAATAATCAATTTTTCTTGAAAGTACCATGGTTGGAAAGCTCGGCCTAGAACCCAAAATCCCAACACAACAGATGAACGGACTTGGGTTACCTGACTACACAACCTCGGTGTGTGCCCCATAAGGAATCTCTGGGCCTTTCCACCAAGAGATTGTGCCCTTTACTTAATGTCTGTGATTCTCCGTCCTCCAAGTCATGGTTGTCCCAAAGGTGCTTTATTTTTCTTCCCAAAAGGCAACTGGACTTTCTTGGGGTTTTTTTGTCCTTGAAGAAGTTTTGATTTTTCATCCATGCAGCTCCTTCAGTTCTGACTGAATTTACTTAATACAGGCAGATAAGCTGGAGGGTTACCAGCACTCACATTTTTGTATCTTGCCTAACCTCTTTGTGGCTGAACTTTGATCTGAATAACTCTTCCATACAAAGACTCATGTAGAACTTTGATCCAAATAACGTAACAGCTGTCCTCTTTCGTGCTCGGCCCCGCAGGAAGAAGCACTTTCTGTGGTTTTGGTTTGACACAAGCTGAGGGCAATTGGCTGAAGGGGCGATCAAGCTACTTAGAACTGCTCCTGCCTGGGCCACAGAGTGAGCTATCCTTCCCTTCCTGTTTGAAAGGTTCAATCAACATTTCAGCACAGGGACTCCTTGACTTACGACCGCAAAAGGACGAGCCCAACGTTTCTTGTGGCTGAGAGAGAAAGTTCTTGAGTGAGCTTTGCTCCATTTTATTACCTTTCTTGCCACCGTTGTAAAGTGAATCACAGCAGTGAGTAACCACGGTCGTTAAGTGAACCTGGCTTCCCCATTGACTTTGCTTGTCAGGTCACAAAAGGGAGATACATGAAACCTGGGGCTCCTCATCCGTCATATATAAGAGTCAGTTGCCAAGGGTCTGAATTTTGATCATGAATGTGATGACCCAAGGGGGCGTGGCACAAAGGCAACACAGTCAGATAATTGGTAGGAGTCCCTTTATTAGCTCCAACTTTGCCCCCAATGTCCTGGTTACCTTCTGGGTTGGAGAAAAACTCTCCCAGGAACAGCCTTTGGCTGCAGAGAATCAAGTCCAAAACGTGGTGAACAAAAACTGTAACTAAAAGTCCAATCAAGGCAAAATGAGGTAATTAGTCCGGCAGGTCAGAAGCAAGAATTCCAGGTGTGAAGGCACGGCAATAACTCAACACGGTTGGGAGGATGCCAGGAACACAGATAAGCACAGTTAACACAACATAAACTCACATTTGCTGCCGCACTCAGCTTGCATCTCTTTTAAACTGTCTTCCCAGGTATGGCTAATGAAGGGAATCAGGGCCCTTTCCTCCCCCATAAGCCACGCAACCCACGTTGCTCTCTTCTCCATTCCTCCCTGCCCTAGGATGAAGAGGGGGTGGGCCTGGGTCTTCCTCTGAACTCCCTTGTTCTACCTCTTCCCTGCTCTGCCCAGCCAGGCTTTGCCCTTCCCCAGTTTCCTCCACAGCCAACAGAGCCACACTCCCACTTCCTGTCAGCTGTTCATCTTCCTCCTCGGATTCAGACTCTGAGGGGGCATGATACCCAGGACTCTGCATCCATCGTATATGGGAGTCAGTTGCCAAGGGCCTGAATTTTGATCATGTGATCATGAGGATGTGGCAATGGTCGTGTCAAAACCAGTCATGTCACTTTTTCCAGTGCCACTGTAACTTAGAACGGTCACTAAACGAACTGTATGTAAGTCGAGGACGACCTGTATTCACGATAAGGGATTAAAATATTCTTCCCGATTAGGCTCACCTCACATTAAAAAAAGACACCAGCAATTCCTTCTTCTCCTTTTGCATTAAGGTCCATGTTGTTCCCAAAAATCTTCTCCAAAATCTCGTTCCCATCTCCAGAAGCAGAAGTAAAGGACCAAAGCCATTGTTGGTGGCATCTCCCATACCAGATGTTTCTTATTTTCGGTCTTTGTCTCCCGACTCTTCCCAATTCAGTGATATCTGTCACCTCTGGAGACAGCAGCCAAGATCCAGGAAACATCTAGAAATGGGTGTTTCTCCAAAACCCTTTGCTCAGATTACTGAGAATAATATTATGGGTGGATGCAAAGTTGTGGCAAAAAGGAAGGGATGGAGATGGTTTGTGCGTCAGGATACCGAGACATTTTAAGCCTCCTCCATCCTTGGTGTCCTTTCACAGAGCTGTTGCGTGGAGAGACACAATCTCATGTCAAAACTTGCACATTGGAACCAGTCCAATTTCTCTTCCCAGCATGAACAATCGATATTGTCCTTTGCTGGTGGTAAGTAACAGCCTAGCAGCATCTGGTAGATTCGGGCCCAGCTTCCTACCTCAGTAGACTGTCTTCCTTTCAAGCAACGCTTGCCTTTCACGCCATTTTTATGCTCAGTAATGCTCAGCTGGCGCAGAATGATAAAAAAAAAAGCTAAGCTGGCTTTGGACTCTGTGTGAATGGTGCTATGGGTGTCTTCTCAGCTGGTGCACTTAATCACCCAGAATCCTGGCTAAGCTTGCTCAGATGGAGTGGAGGAAAACACGAGTTTGATCTTGCCCCACAATCACCAACGTAGTTGTAAGCCGCCGCTGTTTTTTCCTGGTTTGAAAGCTACCGATGAAGCCTCTGAAATAAAATAAAAAAAAGGTTGGGGGTCCCTGGCTTGACTGATTTTGCAGGATGCGCTCCCCTGAAACTGCCTAGCTTCACTAGAGTTGATCGAAAGGGTGTTTTTAGTTTAATTCTGGAGGGGAGGGGGAAAGAGGCCTGCATCTACAATTGTTCCGTATGGCTTGTCTTGCCAATAAAATCCTCACCGAGCTGAAGCTACCATCCAGTGTGGCGTTTTCTTTGCTTGCCTTTTGAATATGCAGAGTTTCACGAGCCCCAAAAGACAGGAGTGGTTGTGCCACAAATCCGGAAGAAACAGTTGTCTAATATGGCTGTGCTAGGTGGGCAGACCTTTGATGGACAAGGCCACAGGGAATTCTCTTACGCAACATTGCGGCTCCTGTTTATTGCAGTGGCACACTAGAAATCTTCTGCGGAATTGGGGGTGCATCTGAGGTGGCATTCAGCAGGTTCTGACCAGTTCTGGAGAACCGGTAGTGGAAATTTTGAGTAGTTTGGAGAACCGTCAAATCCCACCTCTGACTGGCCCCGCCAATCCCATCTCTTCTCTGTCTCCCATTGAGTCCCAGCTGATCAGCTGGGTCTCCTTTGGTTGCCCTGCACAGGAGAACGGAGCTGGAAAGCAGGTTAGTGGGGTGGGGAAGGAATGGGGATTTTGCAGTATATCCTTCCTCTGCCAGGCCCACCAAGCCACGCCACGCCCACAGAACCGGTAGTAAAAAAATGTAAATCCCACCACTGGGATGCATGTGTTGGAAGACAACACAGTTGGCGCTCGGCTTATGATCATAACTCGGCTCAGAATTTCCGTTGCCAAGCGAGGTTGTTAAATTAGTCGCAGCAGATTTTATGACCTTTTTTTGCAGTGTTGGTTAAGCGGATCCCTTCAGTTGTTTAAGTGAATCATGCAATCGTTAAGCAAATCCAGCTTCCCCCATTGACTTCTTTTATTGGAAGCCATCTGGGAAGGTTTGCAAATGACGATTGCAGGATCTTTGCAACCGGCGTAAATGCTTGCCAGTTGCCAAGAGCCCAAATTTTGATCACATGACTCTGGGGGGGGGTGCCATGACAGTCGTTAAATGCAAGAACCGGTTGCAAGTCACTTTTTTCTGGGCTGCTGTAACTTCAACTGGTTGCTAAACAATCTGTCAACTCATAAAATATTTCTCTGGTCTTTTTAGAGTTGACAACAGAAAGGGAGGGGGGAGCAGTGTGGCAGCTTGCAAACCAGAACTGCATTCCATCAATGTTTTGCAAAGATAGTAACTAGGTGACTGAAGATTCTGTCCCGCAAAATTCTAACCTGAGAACATGATTGATGACTCTTGGCTATGGATGTGTCCCATTGGAGAATATGGATTACAATACACCCAGGGGGTGGAGGGAAAACCAGGGTCAAGGATGACAATGAATGATGTGTTGTCAGAGTCGGCTACACCCAGGCAGTGCCGGCACGTTAACTCCCAATACATCATTTTTAAGTTTTGGAAGTTTGGCTCGAGACTCATGATTTAAATGGGGGTCACTGCCAGAATCCTGACAGCTAGCCAACTCTAAGGCACATAATTCATTGCCACCTTTGACCCTGGTTTTCTGATCCTGACACAATCAGTTGTAAGTTGAGGGCTACTTGTAAGCTGGATTCCCTATATCAGGTGCCAGCATGAAATTCCTCTTCACCTCTCACTAAGGTTTGAGACAGCAGAGCTGAAATATCCTTATCCACAGGAGACAAGACCAAATCTCGGATCTTTGAAAGCCATTCAAGGAAGGCTCTATCAAGTCTTGAGCATTGTCTACAGGTTTTAAGACCAAACTGCCACATTATCTCTCAAGGCTGACCAAACATGTCTTTTGCTCAATCAACAGGGCCGTTAATGCCCAGGGAAGCAGAAATTCTGCCACAAGGTACAAGAATATTGCAATATTGAAACTCTCTAGATTAGAAAGAGAGTTTCTTTGGACTTTTGGACTGTAATTTATATGGACTGATCCTCATTTGTCCTGTTTGTACAGTACTGCAGAGAAACAAATTTTGGAGAAACCAATTGTGCTGTGAAAGGAATTAAACAGGGAAAGGTAAACTGGAAAGAGGTCAGGAAAAAAACACAACTATTTATGTTTATGTGGTGGTATAATCGGCAATGGATTCTTTCCCTGCCCCTTGGAAGGAATGGAAATTCGAGTTCTTCTGTTCCTTATTAAATTGCAATTTACCTGCCAGTGCATTGCAAACTGAGCTGACCCTTTCAAATGCTCCTTCCTTTTTCAATTGTGTATTTTCTTTTTCCTCGGCAGTTTTCCAGAATCGAAAGCAAATGAATCCTCTACAGGTTTCATCAATCTGATGTTCTCCCTGATTCCAAACAAA